TCTATACTTTTAAGCTTTTTTAAAAAGTACGTAATTAGTTTCTAATAGTTATTCTCTAGCTAAGAGAGGATTACCTTAATTACGAAATTTAATATATTAAGCTTAATTCTCGTTTTTAATTTATTATCGAAGTATTAAAGGATAAAAGCCTTTATAAATATAAACTTTAGTTTTTAGAAAGCTATTAAATTAATAGTATTTAATTAGAAGTCTATTATTAATTATTTAGCGTTCTTATTAATTAAAGGGGCTACGATTTTCGAGTAATTCTTAATAAAATGCTTATAAAAGCTTATAAACTTAAGGAATCCTTAGAGGTCTTTTAAGGATTAAGAGATTAGTTAATCCTTTATTATAGTAATTTATTCTTCTATAACGTATATACTTATAAAGGAGATTATAAACCCTAGGAATTCTATTATTATCGTATTAAAATTATATTTTTCTAGATTTATATAGAGGCTCTATTCTCGAAGTTTTCTAAATACTATTTTAATATTCCGTTAATATTCTTTTAATATTATTAAATATATTAAGATATTATCTATATAAACGATATATATTATATCTATAAGGCTAGCTAGTACTTTATTAATATATACCTAGAAAGTAGCTAGTATATTCGCGAGGCTAAATAGTATAATAAAGTATTTAAAGTAATTATATTTTATTCTAAATACTATTTTCTACTCGTCCCCTATTTTAATATATAGTTAATAATAAGTATCTTTTAAATTTAGTTTTATAAATAACTTAGCTATTATTAATTAATCGAGTAACTCGTAGATAAACGGGAAAGTAATATAGTCTTTCTTCGTAATCTTATTAAGTCCCCTATAATTAACGTATATCCTAAGCTTATTACCTTTTTTTAGGATAAATAATATAAAGGTATTAATAGGGTTAATAGAGTATTTAATTTATCCTTTTTTTAACGAATTATTTACGTATTCCTTTAATATTTCTAATTCTTTTTCTATTAAAGCGTAAATAAGTCTAAAAAGTAGTTTCTTTCTATCCTCGAGTTTTATCGAATAATCCTATTAATAATACTATAATAAAATTAAAGCTTATTTAATATCGAATACGTCCTTAAACTCGTAATATTCCGCTAAGACTATAGTAAATAGCTTATTTCTCTTATTATACTCTTATAAAAGTACTATAAAGGGAGTTTATATATTCTATAATATAATTAAAGCTACTATTAAGGATTAATAGATTATACTCTTAATTTATTTTCTTATTAATATAATTCTAATATCTTATTTCCTAATAAAATATCTCTAATAGCCCTATAATTAATTATTTATTAATTATACTTAAGCTAACTAAAGTCTTCCTAAGATAATATCGTATTTATTCGTAATATTATTTACTATTATATACTCTATTATTATTATACGTTTTATCCTAAGGTTATCTATTACTTAGCTAATAATCTTTTTCTTATTATAAATACTTATCTCCTTATTTTAGAATACCCTTTTTAGTTTACCCTATTTTCCCTTTAATTATTCTTTAGCTTCCTTTAAGAGGTTATTATTAATAACGTTAATATCGGCTCCTCTATCTAGTATTACCTCTCCTTTAACTTAATTATTATTAATATATAGTTTAATAGTTATTTCGTATTATTTTAATCTTAAGAGTAATAGTTCTTCTTATTAAAGGTCTCTTATTATTCTCCCCTTAAATAGTTCGTAGTTTATTATTAAGTATTATTTATATAATTTATATATATAGCTTTATTTTTTATAATTTATATATAATACCTCTAAATAGCTATTAATATAATATCTATATTTATTATAATTATAATATTTAATATCGTCTAAAGCCTTTAGCCTTCTTCTATCTATTTACTATTATTTTATTATTCCGCTATAAAGTATAATAGATTAACTTAGCTAATTATTTAATTTTTAATCGTCTCTTCTTTATAATTACTTATCGGTTATTCTTTTATAGATCTTATATTAAATTTATTGTAGATTATCTTAGCTTCTCTCTTTATTATCTTAGCGTTATTTTAGGCTTCTCTTAGTCCGTAATAAAGTCTTTACCCTCTTAGTTACTCTATTTAACTCTATTCTTATATAAAGACTTCCTTAAATTATAATCTATTATATAAGATCTAGGTTAAGTTTCGCGAATAAAAGTATTACTTTATAGATCTATAATAAAGGTTTAGGTAGCTCTACTTCTAAGCTATCGTAAGCGTCTATAAAGTCTTAGTATTTCTAATTAAAGGCTTAAAATTATTAATCTTATTTATATAGTTTAATAATTATCTAGAGTACTTAAATATTATTATTATCTATATCGCCCTTTAGCTAAGCCTTTATTACTCTTTAAGTAACTTTATAAATAGATCTATATTCTATCTATATATATAATATCTATCTCTACTATAAAGTATTAATAAAGTAATTATTTATATATATAATTTTATTAATATCTTTATAGAAACTCTTCTTATCGAGCTAGAATCGTATATCGAGGCTAAATAAGAAGGTATTAAGCTCTAACTAAGACGTCCCTTTATATTAAATAGTTAATAACTATATTTTCGTAAAAAGTATACTTTATAATTCTTTATAATATATTACTTTAAGTATTAATATTAATCTACTAATTTACTCTTAATAGTAAGCTT